CCTGAGTTGAGTTAGCTTAACATCAGCAGTGGGGAAAATATTGAAGTTTATTATATAAGAGATGATAATGGATACTCAGAAAACATTAATGAAGTTAGGCAAAGTTGGGCTGGGTTTATGAAAGAAAAGTCATACTTAACATTTACTGGAGTTTTTTGTGGATGTAACTGGTAGAATAGATAAGGGAAAACCAGTGGATGTGGAGTATTTGGATTTCAAGAAGGCTTATGATAAGGTCTCGCATAAGAGGCTGGTGGGTAAAATTAAAAGACATGGGATTAGGGGTAATATAATAGTATGGATTGAGAATTAGTTGACAGGCCAGGAATAGAGAATGAGAATAAATGGATCTTCTTCCTGTTCGCAGGCAGTGACTAGTGGTGTACTGCAGGTGCAACATTTCTAAATTTGGTCATGGCACAAAACTAAATGGGGTTGGAAATTGTAAGGAAGATTCAATGAAGCTTCAGGGTGATTTAGAAAAGTTGAGCATGTGGGCAAATGCATAGCAGATCTAAGCTAAATGTGACATTATACACTTTGGTGTGAAAAAACAGAGAGACCGAGTATTATTTAAATGGCGCTATATTGGGAAACATGGATGTACAAAGGGATCTGGGTGTCCTTGTACACCAGTTAATGAAAGTAGAAAGGTAGGTACTGCAAGTGATTAGCAGGGCGACTGCTATGTTGTTGTCCATTGCAAGAGGATTTAAGTTCTTTTTTTTTCTCTATTCATTTGTGGGATGTGGGCATCACTGGCTAGCAGCATTTCTTGCCCATCCTTAGTTGCCCTTGAAATGGTGGTGGTGAGCTGCCTTCTTGAACTGCTGCAGTCCACCTGCTGTAGCTTGACGCACAACGCCATTAGGAAGAGAATTCCAGGATTTTGACCCAGCGACAGTGAAGGAATGGCGATATATTTCCAAGTCAGGATGGTGAGTAGCTTGGAGTGGAACTTGGAGGTGGTGGTGTTCCCATATGTCTGCTGCCCTTGTCCTTCTAGATGGAAGTGGTCATGGGTTTGGAAGGTGCTCTCTGAGAATCTCTGGTGAATTTCTGCTGTGCATCTTGTAGATAGTACACACTGCTGCTACTGAGCGTCAGTGGTAGAAGGAATGGATGCTTGTGGATGTCGTGCCAATCAAGCGGGCTGCTTTGTCCAGGATGATGCCAAGCTTCTTGAATGTTGTTGGAGCTGCACTCATTCAGACAAGTTGGGAGTATTCCATCACACTCCTGACTGTGCCTTGTAGATGGTGGTCAGGCTTTGAGGAGTCAGGAGGTGAGTTCACCGCGGTATTCCCAGCTTCTGATCTGCTCTTGTAGCCACTGTGTTTATTTAGTGAGTCCAGTTGAGTTTCTGGTCAATGGTAACCCCCAAGATGTTGATAGTGGGGGATTCAGTGATGGTAACACCATTGAATGTCAAGGGGCGGTGGTCAGATTGTCTCTTGTTGGTGATAGTCATAGCCTGGCATTTGTGTGGCAAGAATGTCACTTGCCACTTGTCAACCCAAGCCTGGATATTGTCCAGATCTTGTTGCATTTGAACATGGACTGCTTCAGTATCTGAGGGGTCACGAATGGTGCTGAACATTGTGCAATCATCAGCGAACATCCCCACTTCTGACCTTATGATGGAGGGAAGGTCATTGATGAAGCAGCTGAAGATGGTTGGGCCTAGGACACTACCCTGAGGAACTCCTGCAGAGATGTCCTGGAACTGAGATGATTGACCTCCAACAACCACGACCATCTTCCCGTGTGTCAGGTATGACTCCAGTCATTGGAGAGTTTGCCCTCTGATACCAATTGATTCCAGTTTTGCCAGGGGTCCTGATGCCACTCGCGGTCGAATGCAGCCCTGATGTCAAAGGCTGTCAATCTCACCTCACCTCTGGAATTGTGAGAAGTAGGGATGTCTTATTGTAGTTATACAGGGTCTTGGTAAGACTGCACTTGGAGTATTGGAAAGGAGAGAGCTGTTCCGATGGGATGGGCTCTGCCTGAATCATGCTGAAACCAGAGTCCTGCTGAATCACATAACCAGGGTAATGGATAGGGCTTTAAACTAAATAGTGAGGCAGGGGGGAGGCATTCAATTGCATGAAAAATTATGGAAAAAGTTAAAGGTGGGAGGAAGGTATCAGCAGAGATTATTAAAGTTTCCAGAACAACATGCAGGTTCAGTTGACAGTTAGGAAGGCAAATGCAATGTTAACATTCATTTCAAGAGGGCAGTAAAGGGTAAAGCATCTAACTTCAGGCAGAGCGGATAAACGGGCAACTATGAGAAGGGAAGCGGTCAATGTAGGACCGAGGGTATTGTATTTAAATGTATGCAGTATTCAAAACAAGATAAATGAGCTTATAGCGCAGATTGAAATTGGCACAGCAGAAGTTCATCCCAAGGAAGAAGAAACATACCAAAGGGAGGACAAGCAACCATGGTTGACAAGGGAAGTCAGGCACAGCATTAAACCAAAGAAAAAGCATACAATGTGATGAAGATTAGTGGGAAGCCAGAGGACTGGGAAGAATTTAAAAACTGTCAAAGGGTAACTAAAGAAGCAGTAAGGAGTGAGAAGATGAAATATGAGGGTAAACTAGCTGGTAATATAAAAGAAGATTGTAAGAAGTTTTTTGGATACACGAATGATAATAAAGAGGCAATGAGTAGATTTTGAACCACTGAAAAATGAGGCTGGAGAAGTAGTAATGGGGAGCAAAGAAATGGCAGAGAAACTGAAAATGTACTTTGCATTAGTCTTCACGGTGGAAGACACCAACAACATACCAGAGCTTCAAGAGAGTCGGAGACAGAGGTCAGTGCAGGGGCCATTTCTAAGTAGAAGGTGCTGGGGAAGCTCAGAGGTCTAAACAACCTGTACCACATAGACAACACTCTAGAGTTCTGAAGGGGATCACTCAGGAGATTGTGGAGACATTAGTGGCGATCTGGAGTCAGGGAGGGTCCCAGAGGACTGGAAAATGGCTAATGTAACACCTCTATTTAAGAAGGCAGGTAGAAGATGGGAAGTTATAGGTCGGTTAGCCTGACCTTGGTCTTGCATGGGTGGAGGATTGGCTGACTGGCAGAAAGCAGAGAGTGTGGATAAAGGAGTCTTTTTCAGAATAGCAGCTGGTGACTGATGGAGTTCAGTTCAGGGGTCTGTGTTGGGACCACAATTATTCACATTATACATTAACAATCTGGATGAAGGAACTGAGGGCATTTTTGCTAAGTTTGCAGATGATACAAAGATAGGTGGAGTGATAGGTAGTGTTCAGGAAGTGGGAAGGCTGCAGAAGGACTTGGAAAGACTAGGACAGTTGGTAAAGAAGTGGCAGATTGTGTGCAATTTGGGAAAGTGGGAGGTTATGCACTTTGGTAGGAAGAATACAGGCATAGACTCTGTCCTAAATGGGAAAGGCTTCAGAAATCTGAAGCACAAAAGCACTTAGAAGTACTACATCAGAATTCTCTTAAGGTTAACGTGCAGCTTCAGTTGGCAGTTAGGAAGGCATTTGCAATGTTAGCGTTCATTTTAATAGGGCTAGAATACAAGAGCAGAGATGTACTGCTGAGGCTGTATAAGGTTCTGGTCAGATCACGTTTGGAATATTATGAGCAGTTTTGGGCCACGTATCTAAGGAAGGATGTGTTGGTGTTGGAGGGGGTCCAGAAGGTGTTTGCAAGAATGATCCTAGGACTGAAGGTCTTGTCATATGAGGATTGGTTGAGGACTCTGGGTCTGTATTTGATAGAGTTTAGAAGGATGAGGGGAAATCTCATTGAAACTTACAGAAAACTGAGAGGCCTGGATATGGTGGATTAGAGAAGATATTTTCACAAGCCAGAGAGATTAGGACCCAAGGTCACAGCTTCAGAGTGAAGGGATGACCCTGTAGAACTGCGATGAGGGGGAATTTCTTCAGCCAGAGGGTGGTGAATCTGTGGAACTCATTGCCACAGAGGGTTGTGGAGGCCAAGTCATTGAGTGTATTTAAGACAGAGATATTGTTTCTTGATTTGTAAGCAGATCAAACATTACGGGGTGAAAGCAGGAGATTGGGATTGAGAAACAAATCAACCTTGCTTGAATGGTGGAGCAGACTTGAAGGGTCAAATGGCCTCATTCTGGTTCCATATTATGGTCTTATTGTGCAGACTTTTGGTGTCCGAAGAAAGGATCTCTCTTCAATTAAGGGAGTGCAGCAAAGTTTACTAGGCTGATATTGAGGATGGCAGTGCTATTGTATAAGATGAGATTGGTTCAACTGAGTCTGTATTCACTGGACTCCAGGTGGCTGAGAGGGAATCTGACCGAAATGTACAAAATTCTAATTAGGCTAGAAGAGGTTGTAGACTTGCTCGCCGAGCTGGTATGTTCGGTTGCAGACGCTTTGTCACCCTACTAGGTAACATCGTCAGTGCACCTCTGGTGAAGCGTTGGTGTTCTGCCCCGCTTGTTATTTATATGCATCAGGGACGTTGGCATTACTTCCGGCTCTGTTTTTCAGTGGTTTGTATATCGGGTCCAGTTCAATGTGTTTGCTGATGGAGCTCCGGTTGGAATTGACAGGGCTGAGTTTGTCTTTGTCAGTTCCAATCCATAGGTCAATGCCAAGTTGTCCATCCATTTTCGTTCCTTGAAAGTAGGCAGGCCTTGCAATTGGCTCTGGCAGCTTGGAGGATACTTCACTTATTGAAATAATATCCAAAGAATGCCAAAGATCTGCAAAAGCCAATAGCTCTTGGGTGGTAGGAGGTCAGCAGAGTGGGGAAATGTAATGATGGATCACCACCAATGTTAAAAGTGCTGTTCAGTAATAGAACTATTGCTGATATTTTTCATTTTAGATAAAGACAACTGGAATCACTTAGATGTAAAAGAACATTCCTTAGCCAGTTCCAAGACAGAATTAAGAATACATTTTAACCTTGCTAGAATGGGATTACATTTAAATCATAATTAATATCCAACTAGGCTTACCAGATTTCTCTGTATGGAGACAGAAAGCTTAGCTTTTCCGGTGGTGTGAGATTCAAGTGCCAGTTACCACTGTGCTTCTTAATTTTCATAACAGGAAGTAAACTGCTCGGCATGATAAATTTTGTATAAATGAGCATTGTGAGGAAAAGTATCAGCACCAACACAGACATGATTAGGGAAGAAATTCTGAAGAACTGGTGCATGCTGAAGAAAAACAAACAAAGTTAAGGATTAACTGAAGCAACACAGGTGAAAATAGTTTTAAAATCTTTAAAATGATTTGTACTATATTGTAATGATAGTTACATTAATCAGAATTTCACATTTATTTTGCTTTAATTTGTCCAAATTTAACTTAATGGGGTACATGACTAAAACATGTTGTAGTTTTGGAGGAAACCTTATAATGTGCTCCTTAGTTAATTTTATTACCTGTCTAAGCAGGTGAATTTTAGAATCGGGGCAGGTATACTGTATATAAATGTCAACCCAACATAGAAACTAGTGAAAATTTTAAGTAAACACATCATTTGTATAATAGGTGTAAGTCTTTGGTAGATTATGTTTTGAGTCAGCCAATTTGGAAAACTCAGGATATTATTTACCTATTTGGAAATGGATACTGCTCATTGGCTTTTGCGCCTCTGGATTAATTGGTGTTTTATTTTGCCTGTATTCCCTTTCCATCTTTTTCTTAGTCAATGCTATGCTAAATTTTCACTATTTCTTTCCACTGTCATCCATTTTGTTTTCCATTTATTAAATGTCTTCCATTTTACTTTCACATTTAAAGTTTCTTCCCTGGAGCTGAGACACATGCTGTTCAAGAAGAGCCTGTGATTAACTAAATGTTCCCCATGGTATTGCTCAGCAAATGGGAAGCCTGATAGCTTACTGATTTATGTCTTTTATGGTTACATGTGCATCTATGTAATTGTGAGGAATTCTCTCAAACATAACAGCTACAAGAGCAATTATCTGTCAGCCCCATTCCAATGGTGTCAGTTGCCTTAATGAAACAAACCTTGGAATTTCTTGTATCTTCCGCAGAGGCATCATGTTTCATTATACTGTGGAAATATTGGCACAAGTTTCCAATAGGAATAATAGTGATGTAATCATAATTTCGCATTAATAGGTAATAATAATAGGAGGTGGGATGTCATGTTGTGGCTGTACAGAGACATTGGTTAGGCCACTTTTGGAACACTGCGTTTAATTCTGGTCTGCTTGATATAGGAAGGATGTTGGAAGACTTGAAATGGTTCAGAAAAGATTTACAGGGAGTTTGCCAGGGTTAGAGGGTTTGAGCTATGGGGAGAGACTAAATAGGGCTGGGGCTATTTTCCCTGGAGCGTAGGAGCCTAAGGGGTTACCTTATACAGGTTATAAAATCATGAGGGGCATGGATAGGGTAAATAGACAAGGTCTTTTCCTCAGGATGGGGAAGTCCAAAACTACGGGGCATAGGTTTAAGGTCAGAGGGTAAAGATTTAAAAGGGACCTAAGGGGCAACTTTTTCACACAGAGGGTGGTGCATGTATGGAATGAGCTGCCAGAGGAAGTGGTGGAAGCTGGTACAATTACAACATTTAAAAGGCATCTGGTTGGGTATATGTACAGGAAGGGTTTAGAGGGATTTGGGTCAAATGCTGGCAAATGGGACTAGATTAATTTAGGATATCTGGTCGGCAAGGACCGAAGGATCTGTTTCTGTGCTGTATATCTCTATGATTCCATGACTCTATAATAATAAGCTCAAATTCATTCCGACAAAGTATCATCTAAGTAAAACTGATTGATCCCTATGTTTGGGGAATAAACAGTTGTGTTCAGCCCTGTCATTCCATGGTCTTCCTCTTGGGCAGGTACATACAATGTTCAACATCTGCACATATTAAACATCAATATCAGCAAATTGTTGCCTGAGTTTCCCTCTTTATGCACTCTATATTTAAACAAATGCAATCCAATAAAAATAGCAGATAAATTTAGGGCTGTCTATTAAGGCTTAAGTGAATTTTTAATGGTCTTCATTACTGACAAATAATGAATCTTACCAAAATTGTGAAGCATCCTATCAGATTTTAATTATTGTTGGAAAATTTAAAAAATGTCAATCTTTTTATGAAATGTTTTTGTCACTTTTATTTTTCTCTTTTAATGTTTTTTATAAAATTCTTCATTCAGTTTTCAGGCCTTACCTTAAATGGAAACAACTTTTCAAAGCGTATGCTTTCTAGTTTAGACTCAGCACATTGATTTTTTAAATCGCACTGCAGAGCACATGTTAAAATTATTGCTGCCAGGCAGTGTGCTGGTTCCATTTACTGAGCACTTCTTCGTACTGTGCAATAGCATGAGTTGAAGCCATTGGGTGTGTTGAGAGTTATGGGTGTGCCAAGACTGATGAATTGGGACATGCAAGAACGAATATAGCAGACATTATGTTGCATTTTTAAGACATTTAATGAAAAGGGAGATGTTTTGAGAAATGCATTTGTAAGTACAATGTATATTCTGACTTCCGTACTTATGTGACTTTCACTGAAAGTGCTTTGCATTTAGAGGGAGAAGCTACTGAAAACCTCCACATGAAACAAGTCCGATTAAAAGGAGGCAATTAGATTTGCTTTTCCAATACTGCTGTTTGGCAGGGCGTGCCGGTTTAGATGCCTGTTAATCTATATTTAGAGCAACTGGCTTTGATTTCATTTCAGAATAATCTAGGAATGAGCAATTTTTAAAAGTGAATTCAGAAAACATGAGGATGGGCTCAGGAGCATGTTCAGTTCCTCCACTAGAAGGAGTTCCAGACAGTTCAAGGAACCAGTCATCTTATTGGAAGAAGTTAGTTTTTGAATCTTCCAAGTCAGGAGGATTTGATCAGAAATCTGCAGACTATCATAACTAAGAAAGCTTAAATTCTCAGATTTGTGAGAAATTCATGTCAGCAGATTGGGAAAGGGCTCACTGAATTGCCTGCATAGTCTATGACAAAGTAAGGAGTCAGTTAGGTAGAAACTTGAGGTGTTGAGATTGGGAAGCAGTTGTTCTGGACTTGAGAGTCTGTAATGGGTAATATCAAGAAACACTTTGGAAATCTGTTTAGCTGTGTGATTTAAGATCATTTAAATGGTCTTCTCTTTCTAGATAGATTTGTTTATTGCTTTTTCTTCTTTTCTGTAATAAATCTCTGTTCTGTCATTAGAGAAAAACATGCAGGCTCACATGAGATAGTAGGAACTGCAGATGCTGGAGAATCTGAGATAACAAGGTGTAGAGCTGGATGAACACAGCAGGCCAAGCAGCTGAAGAAGGCTCTAGGCCCGAAACGTCAGCTTTCCTGCTCCTCTGATGCTGCTTGGCCTGCTGTGTTCATCCAGCTCTACATCTTGTTATCTCAGGCTCACATGAATATGTTTTGATGGATGATCACTACATTAACCACCTAAAATAAAACATATGATCCATCAAGCCAGATTTCATTTGGGATTTGACTTATTCAGTAGGTATCATAAGCTGGGGTTATAACACAGTTCATGTTTTTTATTCTATTGTTGATCCTGAAAGTTAGGTTCAGAAAACCATTGAAGAAATGAAGACCAATCCAGCCAGAGTGCAAATTCATCTATTGGATTGGTTCAAGAAACATGGAATTATTTGACATTTTTGAGAAGATTTGTAGCTTGGGTTGTTCACTGACTTGCTCGCTGAGCCGGTGTGTTTGATTGCAGATGTTTTGTCACCCTGCTAGGTAACATTGTCGGTGCGCCTCCGGTGAAGCATTGGTTTTCAATCCTGCCTGTTATTTATAAGCCTCGGTTCACAGGGATAGTTGGCATTACTACCGGTTCTGTTTTTCAGAGGTTTGTATATCAGGTCCAGTTCGACGTGTTTGTGGATGGAGTTCTGGTTATAATGTCAGGCCTCAAGGAATTCCCCAGCACGTCTCTGTTTGGCTTGTGCTATTACGGATGTGTTGTCCCAGTATAATTCGTGTCCTTCTTTGTCCATGTGTATTGAGACCAGTGAGAACTGGTCGTGTCTCTTGGTGGCTAGTCGGTGTTTGTGTATCCTTATTGTCAGTTTTCTTCCAGTTTGTCCGATATAATGTTTTTCACATTCCTTACATGGTATTTTGTATATTACGTTAGTTTTATTGGTTGTGGGTATAGGATCCTTTATGTTCCTCAGTTGCTGTCGCAGGGTAGTTATTCGCTTGTGGGCTACCCTGATACCTAGGGGTCTGAGTAGTCTTGTAGTCATCTCTGACAACAAGGAACACCAGACTAGCGTATACAGAAAGACAACACATACAAACCAGATACTTAATTACTCCAGCAACCACCTTCACACCCATAAACAGAGCTGCATCAGGACATTATTCAAACAAGCTACAACACACTGCAGCAACCCGGTAATTGCGCAAGGCAGAACCGGAGCACTTATACGGAGTTTTTAAAAGGAATGGATATTCAAAACGCACAATCTGCCATTATCTCTGCAACAGACCACAACAAGAGGACACAACACGGCCAGACACATTAGTCACCTTACTGTACTTGCGAGACATATCAGAGATGACCACAAGACTACTCAGACCCCTAGGTATCAGGGTAGCCCATGAACCAACAATCACCCTGCAACAGCTACTGATGAATGTGAAGAATCCCACACCAATAAAACTAACGTAATATACAAAATACCATGCATGGACTTGAAAGACATTACATAGGACAAACTGGGAGAAAACTCCAGCTAAGTTTCCGATGAGGTTGCCATGACTGCAGGCAAATTGCCTTTGTACGAACATGCCTTTTGATTTTACATCTTAGTGACGGTACGAAATTCCCTTTGGAAAGTGACTCCTTCCACACCCTTTCAGGCAGTCCTTTCCAGATCTTAATCACTCTCTGTTTAGAAATTCTGCCTATTTCTCACCTGTCTCATTTACCAATCGGTGGAAACAGTTTCTGTTTTTACATTAAATAAACGCTCACGGTTTTGAACATGTTATTTAAAATCTTGTCTTTAAATTTCTCTGATGGTTGGGCTGATCGTTGTAAAATTCCCCTATACTGTGCTGTCTGAAAAGTTGCTGGTAAGGTGGGGACAACCAGATTTTGGATACCAAAAAAGAATTTTTATTTCCCTACCTTATGCATAAACAACTGATAGAAAAAAAACAACGAAACAAATAT